AGTTCCTCTCTCTCTCTCTCTCTCTCCCTCTTTCCTTCCCTCTCTCTGTCTCCCTCCCTCTCTCTCTCTCTTACCCTCTCTCACTCTCTTTTCTCTCTGTCCACACACACACCTCACTCACATATACACACTTAAACACCCTTGCTCTTACTTCTCCCTTAGTATACTCCCTCTCTGAGAATTCAGCTAGCACAAGGACCGGATAGAAGGGATGAGGCCCAGGAGCCCCTTCCCCTTGTCTTCCTTGATCCTGCCTCTTCATGCACCCTGGATAAACAGGAAGGGATCCACGCCATCAGTGTTCATCCCTCTCAGAATATCTGAGACTTGTCTGAACCATCAAAGCCATCTCCATTCTACAGGAGCATACTGGAAGGGGGCACCAGCATTGCTGAAACAATCCCCCATTGTCTTCTACTCCTTGGAAATTGTAGCTTTGTAAACAGGCACTTACATTTAGACAGATCCTGCCCTGGCTTTGTGCTGGGGTAGTTTTTTTTTTCTTCTCTGAACAATGTCCTTTCCAGTAGAGCCAGCCGTTCACACCATTGTCTGAGACCCTTGGACTACAGGAAACAGTGCCAGATTCTTATCAGCTGAGGCGGTGGAGGTAGTGTGGAGTGAGGAATGAGATCATGCCTACAAGGCAAGCTGTTTGTCACTCTTCTTTCTATACCTTTATCTCTGACAGCACAGCCCATCTTGTCCTTCCAACAGGCTTCAAGAATCCCTGTTCCAGTCCCCAGCATTTGATATTAGACACTTGGACTCTTCCCAGGCCTCTCTTTGTAACCCTGTCAAATACAGCTGTCTGCAGCCCTGGCATCCCTCTACCCAGTGGGATATGCAAGAGATACCTGTGGATAGATTACGGTATGGGCTGAATGTCTTCCTCCATAGAAGAATAAGGTCAAGACTGGTCACTTGAGTCTCTGCATTGACAAGTCCTTGAATGCAAGCTGGTTGCTGGAAGCCTGGCAGGAGGAGAGCCTGGAAGGGTCTCCCTGGAGGCTTCACCATAGTTCCTGTCTCAGAGAATGATTTTTTTTAAGGCCACATTGAGGAACTAGACCTTTCCTTAATGAAACTCCAGCAGGGAAAGTGAAAAGGTTTCATTAGGATGAAGTCTCTAAGAGAGGCACCCAGCATAGGAAAGGTGGCTGGGGGTTGGGAAGTGGGCACAGGGCCATCACAGCCTTGCTTTACCTCCCCTACACCAAACGGGTGGGTGGGTCCGGAAGAGGAGGAGCAGGGTGGGGGCCCAGCAGCCCCAAGTTCTTTATCAGATACTGTGTCCAAATCTAGCCCTGCCCACTCCATTCTTGCCAAGTTTGTAGTCTTAGACAACCCTAGAGATTTATCCTTAGTGCGTGCTAAACTTTCTCCTTCTGGAATTCTCTGCAGACTTGAGTGGAGCTCAAGGGTGGGTCCTTAACTTAGATAGAAACTGGACTATTTTGAGCAACTCTCCAAATCCTAAAATGTGTCTGGCCAGAGAAGCCTGTTTTTGAGCTGGTCCTCCAGAGCCCACTGGCTGGAGTTGCAGCAAGGGTCCCAACCCTGCCTACAGAGAGGACTGCCTAAAGCAGACAAGCCAGTCTCCTGACGGCTGTGATGTGCCTACACCTCCTATCAAAGTCTAGGACATGACCCATGTTTAACATGAAATAGAAGCACAGAAGCCATTTGATATAGTTTTTTTAAAAAAAAGATTGTTCTCCTTTCTTATTCTACCCCATCCTTCCTGAACAATTACTCTGTTGGACTGTAGGACAACCACAGACTTGGGGTGAATCCTAGACCCCCCACCAAGAACTATGCCAGATACAGGAAGAGCCAGACAAAGGCTAAGAAGGCAGACTGAGTGTGGCTAGGATGGGAGCCAGAAGCAGGGTAGAGTCTTGGCCCAAGGGCTAGTAAACTAGTGGTTTGGCAGCCATGTCCCTGGGGTAGCAGGGCCTACTTTGAAGGCCATTGGAAAGCAAAATGTGACTGGCACCTAGGAGGTCAGGGCCTCTGGTAAACTTACAAGCTTGGGAGACAGAAATTAACAAATTAGTCTTGTGTATTTAGGAAAAGAATGAATCTATTAACAGCACTTTACCAATGGGTATTCTTCAGAATATTAGAAGCATGAGATGTTGGCTGCTCTGTGGAAAGTAAAAGATACAGGCCAGACATTTTAGAGAATTATAGAGCACATAGGAGAAAGGTAGATTAGTGAGAGACAGACCACCACCCACAAGACTTCTCAGGCTTTTCATGGGGCAGGGAAGCAGGCAGAAGTGAAAGGCAAGGTCACAGAAATTCTGGAATCTAACCATAGAGACCATAAGATCATGGAAGAGCTCCTAGGATTACCATTTCAAAGGACAGCATTTTGGAAATACTTGACTCCTTTCTTTGTCTAAGCCCCTTTCTAGCTCTAAACCTATTTGGCAAATCATAAACAGAGGTCCAGAGAACAGAGGAAGTAGGAGATTTAGAGAAAAAAATGCTGCAAGAGGAAGACAGAGAGAGGGAGACACTATGGAAGGAAGGAAATAAGGCTCAAGAGGTGAGGAGGAGGGCAACATGGCCAAGGAGGTCTCGGGAGCATTGCAGCAATGACAGTGGTGAGCTGGGACATTAGGCTGCCACAGGCGAATGATGTTTGAGCAGAGAAGGGAGCGTTGGGGACCACATTAATATAGCCTGTCAAACTACGGAAAGTGGGTAAAATGATGGCTCTCCATGGGTGGTGATGATTAGAGATTAGGGATTTTGACTCTGTCAGGCCTGGCTATTTGTGGTCAGGGAAAGGGATAAAAGGATAGCTGTGGCTTCTGGGCCTGAATAATAGCTTGACCTGTTCAGTTAAGACTTCTAGACTACAGCTAGATGGAGGTGTCCATCCAAGCAGGAGGTCCAGGGCTGCCTTCTTAGAGAAATGGGCTGATGTCTCTCTCTCCTGTGGTTTGTTTTCCATCTTCTTCCAGCACCAGTGGAGTCTGCTCTTTTGGCTTCTTTGGCTGAAGCTCTGCCACTTTGAGCTACACCTCCAGCCTGGCATCTGCTCTTTGGCCGGTGGGCATGATGCCACTGGAGGAGAGGGTGCCATGGTCAGAGGGCCTTCTGTGCATGCTGCCCAGTAGCTCAGATTCTTATCCTCCCCAAAAGTTCCAGCCCCCATAGCCTAGCCCTGGCATGAGCTGGGTGTCCTTAATATACATTGGTATGTGGGTTGGGGTGAAGGAGGCACCAGGCTAAGTGTTGCTGTTGACAAATGTTAAGTGTTGTGAAAAAGGAACAGAGCTGCCTACGTGCCTGGGTGCCCTTGGCCAGCTTTTTTTTTTTCCTGGCTCAAGATCCTCCTGAAGATCTAAGGTCAGTTTTATCAGCCCTCAAGGAAGGATTTTCCTAATTTAATGAGCAATCTCAGCTCTAAAGACAAAGCCCTTGACTCCTTCCTTCCCCTGTTACCCATCTCCCTCCCCTGTTAGAAAATACCTCCCATAGTGACCTTCTGACCTTCTCTCTCAGAACAGATGGGGAAAGCTCTACTTTTCCAGACACAGCATCAGTCAATTTAATACAAAAACACACAGATACAACAATCATATAACTGTGATATAAATATTAATTTCATCCCTTTGTAGTCTCTACTTTCTTCATGAGCTCAGGGGCAGTCCTGACAATTAAAATGTCAATAGCAATTTCAAGAAGTATGTTCTAAAGACAGAGAAACCACAGGACCCATCTCAAAATACAAACACAAAATGGAATTCACACACAGAGAGCATTTCCAGGAATTGAAGTCAAAAACACATAGTACCATAGAGTGGGTGGCAGTTGGTAGAAGCTGTCCGTGCTTTTCCAGGAGTAGGTGTGAATTCAGGACCATATGTTCCTTCTCTCTCCATTTTTCAGGACCACTTCCCCAGATGATTCTTGGGGCTTACCAAGCCTCTGCTCCATCCACACCCACTGAGGGATGAATTGCCTTTTTCTGGCTTTCCAGGGAGAACTTAGCTACAGCTCTGTTATACTTTCCTGAAGGCTGGCTTCCCTGTCTTCTGGGCCTTCCTTTCCTTTCTTCCTTCCAGCTCCCACATTTCTTCCTCTTCTCTACTTTTACCTGCTAGTATTCCAGCAGACCCTACCCTAGGCAGGAAAGTTTCCCAGGATGTTGTTAGGTTGACCTCAGACCTTCAGTTGCCATAAAATCAAGAGAGTGAGGAGAGTATGCCTTCAGATTCAGGTTCTCAAATGGTTAGGGTTGAGGAGATAAAACCCAAAGCCTTAAATGGTGGTAGCTCAAGTCTGTCATCCTAGCTACTTAGGAGGCTGAGATCTGAGGATTGAGGTTCAAAGCCAGCCCGGGCAGAAAAGTCCATGAGACTTTTATTCCCAATTAATCACCAGAAAACTGGAAGTAGAGCTGTTGCTCCAAGTGGTAGAACACAAGCCTTGAGCACAAAAGCTCAGGGTCAGTGTCCAGGTCTTGAGTTCAAGCCCCATGTCCGACAAAAAAAATTTTTTTAAACAACAAAGCCTCTAGGCTTAGGTTTCAAGTAAGACAAGAGACCATGACTTGCTACTTCTTTTATTTTCTCTCTTTCTTCCTCTTGGATTTTTGTTTGTTTTTAGAGGCTAGAATTTCAAACTTGTTTTTGTCTCCCTCTTGTCAGTTCTGTGCGTCACTAACTTGTTCAAGTACAGGCTAGGAACAACTTTTCATTTAGTTGTCATCCTCCCCCTCTTTGCTACCTGCTCAGAAAACTAACACCTCCCCTATAGCCCAGGCAAAATATGTCACCCAGCCTCACCCCAAGAATCATCAGGCTTTATGGTTTGTAATAGTTTTTTTTTACTCTACATTTTTCCTATAAAAGAAAAGAAGAAAAGGAAGGAGGACGAGAAGGAAGAAGAGGAGACAGAAGAGGAAGAGGAGAGGAGGAAGGGGAAGAAGTTGGGGTATGTAGCTCAGTGATAGAGCACTTGCTTAGCATGCATGAGAGACCCTGAGTTCATCCCCAGGAAAAAGAGAGGTGGGGGGAGGGAGAAAGGAAGAGGAGGAAGTGGAGAGGGAGAAACATACGCCTTATTATAAAGGAACCATTCTTGTCTAACTCTATTCATCAGAAAATGTAGATTCCAGTTTGAAAACATCTGACCTTCCAGAGGCTCCTGAACCAATTGATTTCATCCTAAGCTCTTGAGGACACCTGCTCCTGGGTCTATAGATCCTCCTGTTTCCACCTAAATAGGCTTTCAATTTTTTGCAGCCCTGGGAAAAATCCTTGGCTGTAGCCTTCAGAGCTTCCACATTCCTACCCTCCTAGGGTCAGATGTGCCTGCATTGCTCTGGGAAAGGCAGCTAGTTCCTTCCATGTCTCTGGCTTTAATCTCCCCATCTCTAGTTTATAAAGATGAAGACTGACATTCCTCTAGATCCTACCTCTCTCCTTCTCAGCACAGATCTCTGGAGGTAGGCATCCCAGAAAGCCTGGCCAGACAGTTCAAGGCCTGAGGAAAGGCTAGCAGACTGTGAGATTAAGTGGGACCTGAGGCCCACACTACTGCCAGGTCCCAGAAATCCACAAGTCTGTAATTCTGAGATGCAGAAGAAGTAATGGGCCATGACAGGGAACCTACTAGATATCAGGATATGAAGAGGGGCTCTTCTTCACAGGTACAACTTAAGAGGCAACTTGCACCCTCCTCTGGCTGAGTGAGCACCCCCCCCTCCCTACTCAGATACCTCTGTTAGAGTCACCCACACACCCACTCTAAGGGTCACTCAGACTAGCCATTGTTCTGCAGCCTGGGAAAGAACCACCCAATCCTCTTGCCTCTGGGCACAACCGGAAATGTGCTCCGGAAGTCAGACCATCTCTGAAAAAAAAAATAGCAGGGCCTGTGGGGCTGCCAATGGCTGATGGATGCCAGCTCTGGGCTGGGACTGAGAAGATAGAGAGGGCAGGCAGAGGGTCGTGGCACAAGGCCCCTTCCCCAGTCTTGCCTGTGGGTGGCAGAAACTACTCTCAGAGGCAATCAAGCATCCTGATCCCCTCTGCTCTGAGTGGGTGGGAGATGCTGGGGGCTGCTGCTGAGCTCCCCCCACCCTCAGTCCAGGCTGACCACCCCCTTCACAGCCCTCCCTATGTGGCCTCCACCTCCCGAGGTGTCCGATTGCGCTCAGCCTGCACCCGGCTCTTCATCTTTTTACCCAGTTCCAGCCCTGCCCAGCTCTTGCCTTTGGCTTGCTTTCCCCGGACCCGGAAGGAGCCTGAGCGCTCCCCAATGCCCCTGCACCACACACGCTCACAGTACTCGTCCACGCGGGGCAGGTTGGCAAAGCCAATGATCTGTAGGATGTCCTTATACCAAGCCTTAGGTGGGGCAGAGACAAGGCCTCCCCAGGCGGAGGGCACCTCTGGCCTTGGCTCTTGAGGGAACAAGCTGTCCAGTTGTGTAGCCACAATCACCTCCAGAGCCAGACGAACCACAGTCTGAGAGAAGCCATGTTCTAGCGTCGTGCAGGTATAGGTACCTGCATCAAAGCGGCTGAGCCTACGGAACAGCAGTCCCTGCTCTGTTTGTAGGATCCGTTCATCTGTCTTCACCTGCCAAGTGGGTGGGAAGGTATAGGGGGCATAAGCAAGGCATAGAGCAGGACATCTGCCCTCAGCTTCTTGCTGCCCTCTCCCCTTGCTTTTCCAAGTTTGCCATCCTTGGGTATCATCCCCTTGCCCATTCTTGCTGTTCCAGGAGGGGCCCAGGGGCTTGGAATTGTGATGTAATCATAGACAGACCTCACCTTCTCACAGCATGCAAAAGAGGCTATATGTGTGTGTGCGTGCACATACACGTGCACACATGTGCGCACACACACATGCACGCACCAGTCCATTGGCTTTTTTTTTTTTTTTGCCAGTCCTGGGGCTTGAATGCAGGGCCTAGGCACTATCACTGTGCTCAAGGCTATCACTCTATCACTTGAGCCACAGTGTCACTTCTATCTTTTTCTGTTTATGTGGTACTAAGATATTGAACCCAGAGCTTCATACATGCTAGGCAAACAATCTACCACTAAGCCACATTCCCAGCCCTCCATTGGCTTTTTTACTCAAGACTAGTGCTCTACCACTTGGAGCCACAGCTCTTCTGGCTTTTTGGTAGTTAATTGAAGATGAGTCTCTTCCAGGTTTATCTATGTGGATTGAATTTGAATTTTGATCCTCAAATCTCAGCTTCCTGAGTAGCTGTGATTACAGGAATGAGCCACCAGCACCAGCAAAAGAGGCTTCTCAAATATTTGAATGGCTGATTTCTCCCCTGTTCAGAGCCCTAGGATTCCAATCAGAGCAAAAGACCTGGGCTGAAGAAAAATATCCTCCTTTACTGATACACACACACACACACACACACACACACACACGTGTGTACACGCATCAGCACACTGTGTCTCAATGTGCTGTGTTTACTCCCCCCAATAGTGTATGAGGAGAGGCCAATAACTCCAGCCTAAGATGGGCAAAGTATAGGAGGCAAGAGGGAAGCTCTAATCCCTACCAGTCTCCCTGAGCCCTGACTGGGCTTTAGTATGTGTATTTAGTCTGTACTGCGGATGAACTGCTTGGGTGGTTGGTGTTGTGTAACTTCATCTTGTTACTCCCCTACCCAGGGGGCCTCCTCAGTGCCCAGCCCAACAGCTGGCTCAAGGCTGGCCTCCACTAGTTCCCAGGCTAGAGGGAGAGCCCCTCCTGTCAGCAATCCCCGCCTTCCTCTCCCTGGTAGAAGAATAGTTTTTCACCCTGCCTAGCCCACGCCCTGCCTTAGGCCCCACACTGAAGCCATCTTGAGGATCAACAGAGCTTTATGAGTGGGGGAGGAGAGAGCCTGGGCAAATAACTGGTCTCCAAGGAAGACGTGTGAGATCAGAAATTAGGGGTAGAAGGAGTCTAGTGGTGAGTGGTCAGAGACCCAGGTCAGTAGTCAGAGGCCCAGGCGTAGGGCAGAGGAGGACCAAGGAACCCTGAGAAAGAACACCCCCTCCAAGCTGACCCACACGTGTAAGCATGGGAAACTGGATGGCTATCCCAGACTCCACTCATTCCTTCTCTTCTGTCTCTGCTACTCGCATCACAGACTAGGGGAGCTCCAGGCACATCTGGGCTTGGTGTTTCCAGAGACAGAAATGAGGCAGCTATTCCTAGGCAGTGTTAAGGCCTAATATACACTTTCCTCAGATTGATCTCAGCTGGCCCCTTCCAGTGCCCAGAGCTTGGGGTTTAGGGAAGGTGATGGGCCCACAAGCAGGGTCTTCGCAGGGACTTTACTCACTTGGTCAGGGCTCTCATCCTCTGGCCGCTGCAAGAACCAGCGCACAGAAGCCTGGGGAGACTTGGGCAGGCACTCCAGGAAGGTGCTATTGTGCTCTGTGCCATAGATCCTGGTGGTCACTAGTCCTGAGGTCTCTGCAGAAAAGATCAGATTATCTCAGGATGGGAACTATGTGGCCCAGGAAGCTCAGGGGTCACCAACTAATTCCCACAGACCACCAGTGTAACAAGGACCTGAGTATCTCTATGCCCACAGACTCTACTCCCCACCACTGGCTACTGCTGCACAGACAGGGAAACTCAGGGCCAGGACTTTAGATTAGAAGCAGGACCAAACAGGCCATACTTGACAGGGATGGAGAGCATGCCACGAGGAAAGTAAGGGGACAGCCCCCAACACTCACCATCCTGGCTCTGACCGAGACACTGGAGGGCAGGGTTGCCATGCCGGATGTCCTGCCGGCGGAAGCGACGCTTGCCTAGACCAGGTCGGTAGCGGGTACAAGAGGCACCATCCCAAGCACAATATGGGTCCCGGGCCAGACAGCACTCAGCACAGGCACTGCCGTAAGTCTCACACTGGTGCAGTCGAAGGCGGGCCACACCCAGCCGAGAGCCCACATATAGCATTTGCTGGAGAGGGACACAGGTAGAGCCATGATAGGCCTGGGCTTCACCAAGGAGCAGCCAGGCTCTTAACCTCCTGGAGTTTCCTGACACTCCTGTTCTATAAAGTAAGTCTTCTAGGATCTCAGATTCATTCACAAAAACAAAAATATTGATTGCCTACCTGTTATGTACCAGATCCTGTGCTGGGATGTGGAGGGAATGCAATGGAGTCTTTTCCCTAAGGGCTTCCAGGACACCTCTACTAGCAGCCTCTCTCTCTCTCTCTCTCTCTCTCTCTCTCTCTCTCTCTCTCTCACTCAATTTCCCTTCTTATGCCTAAACCAGAGCTTGAACTCAGGGCCTCATGCTCACATAACTTGCTTTGTTCATGTCTGGTGCTCTACCACTTGAGCCATGCCTCCAGCCCTGCCCTTTATCTCAATGATCTTTGGCTGATTTAGAGATGATCCTTGACTTAGACATTCCCCATACAAAAGTCAGGATTTACTCAAACATAAATTGAGACAGTTAAAGTATTTGAAGTTGGCAAAAGAACACATAGGAGGCCTCTAGGAAGCAGCTCTCTTGTTCATTTAAAACCAGAACTCTGTTTCCAACCACATTTTTGTGTATGTGCTGGTCCTAGGATTTGAAGTTGGAGCCTCCTGCCCTCCCTTAGCATTTTCAAGGCTGGCAGTCTACTGCTTGAGCCACAGCTCCACTTCTGGCTTTTTGCTGGTTAATTGCAGACAAGAGTCTCTTGGACTTTTCTGCCAGACATAGCTTCAAATCATGATCCTAAAAAGTCAGCTTCCTGAGTAGTTAGGATTATGGGCATAAGCCACCAACACCGAAAGCTCCACATTTTTGCCTCTCAGGAAATGGACTTTGAGGATCAATCCTTGTCTGAACACAGCCTCAATTTCTTAATGCCTCCCTTCCATTACCTTCTGCTTTCACCCATGTGAAGCTCAGCTCCCATCTGGACTTGGCCTTGATTTCAGGACCCATTTGGCCTGCTCTCCAGGAAACTCAAGGAGGCTGCGAGGGGGGTGGAGAGGAGGTGGGTGCAAGGGAATAGGTAGTTGCTCTTACCCTTTTGACAGAGATCTCCATCTTGGTGATGGGTGTTGGCACCTGGAGAAGGAGTATGGTCTCAGCACTGGTGGGTGAAGCAAGAGCCTCCCCCATCACTATCCTCAGCCTCTTTCAAGCCCTGGGTGTGAGCCGCCTGTATCCCAAGCCCTGGTCTGTGCACCACCTGGTAACAAAGGCTCAACAGTCTTTCCCTGATGTCCTCTTCCCCAGACTAGCTTCCAAGGAGGAAGCTTGGCTAAATGCACAGACTTCCAATGTTCCCTCCCACAGCCAGTCCCCCAGCAATGAAGCAGTTGTCCTAATCACCCGCCCCCAGATCATGTCCAAGGGGTACAATAGTCTCCAAACACAGACAATCTTTGCCTGAATCCATACGGGGGCTCAAAGAACCCTCAGAAGCTTGGAATTCCAACCACCTCAGCACTGAGACTTGAGCCAGCAGGACCTGAGCAAGGCCACCCTGATGACCACTTCAGCTTCACCCTGGGGAGCCCTGAACACTTTGAGTCCACAGACTGCAGCTCCAAGTCACCTGCCGAGGGTAATAGTGCCTGCTGCAAGTCCACTGTGGTCGTGTGTGTCCTGCTCTGGGCTTGCTCTTGCTTCTGTCACCAGCCCCAATGTCAGAGATGGGGGTCCTCTGAAACCCTTGCTCACCTTGAAGACCTGGAGCTCTTCCAGGACCACCTCCTCGGGCTCAGCAGAGTCCCCTGCCTGGAGGGCCAGGACTTTGAGCACAGACCCTGAATCTGAAGCAATGGAGTAGGAGTGAGAAGAAGAGGAAGGGGCAACCTGGGTCCCTCCCCCCTCCACTTTCCCAGCCTGACATACTCCCCTGCTGCCCTCCTACCTGTCCCCAGGAAAATGACATCATAAGTCCCATCCTCAGCCTCCACACGGTCCACTACAATCTGACGCAGCTGCTGGGTCAAATGGGTCTTGACCAGGACAGGGCGGCCATGCCGAGGCCTCACAGGCTGGAACATGAGTGGGTGGGCTCGGGCAAACTGTAGCACCTCATCCGGATAGTCCTTGGTGCTGCCAGAGGGCCGTCCAGGCCGCGCAGTCATCTTGCTGGGGCACTGCAGGCAGCAGTAAAGGGGGCCCCTGAAATCTCAGGCCTGTTTCCAGCCCCACCAGGAGGCTGGGCCACATAGGAGAGCCTCTTGTCTCATCACAACCCACCCCGGCCCTCTGGGCTGCATTTCCCACATTGCTAAGGGCTGCATGTGCATCTTTCCAAGAAGTCTCTCCTGGTATCTGCTTGGCTCTCTTGCCTGGCTCCCCCAGACACTCACCACGCCAGGTCGGGGGAAAGGCACCTTGCCCCCGTACGCTCTCCACTGGTGCTGAGGACCATCTTGGTGAGCAAAGGGTCCATTGAAGACTTCCCAGATGTCTGCCAAATGGTACACACAGACAGCAAACCCCTGGAACACAGCACTGCAGAGGGTACAGGATAGTAGGATAGTCAGGCCAGGGTGCCCATCCTTAGGGAGGAAGGGAGAAGGCTGGCTTCACAGGGGTAAGGCAGAGGGTGACAGTGCCTGCCGCAAGAAGAGACTAGATAGCAAGGATACTGAGGCAAAGGTCAAGAGAGGAAGCCAGGCTCCAGTGGCTCATGCCTATAATCCCAGCTACTCAGGAAGCTGAGATCTGACAATCGCAGTTCAAAGCCAGCCTGGGCAGGAAGTCCATGAGACTCTTATCTCCAATTTACCACCAAAAAGGCTGGAAGTGGAGCTATGGCTCAAGTGGTAAGAGTGCTAGCCTGTTCAGGGACAGTGCCCAGACCCTGTGTTGAAGCCCCAGAACCCCCCCACACCCCTTCTCCCCACACACACAGCAAGACAGGGAGATGGCAAATACAGCCATCGAATCTGGAGAAAGACAGAGAACCAGAGTCTCCACAACGAGGCCAGGGATGCAGGAAGACTAGTGCACCTACCTTACAGTCCTGAACAGTGCATACACCTCGAGGTTCTTCCCTGCCTTGGGCCACAGCAGAAACACATCCTCTGGAACATAGGAAAGGGTATTGATATTATGACTACTCATTCACCAGCACTGAGTCCTCCCCACTCCCAGCACTCAGGCCTGCCAGGGCCATGCCCTTACCCAACTGGTCAAAGTGGGTCTCAGCACCACCAGGGCCGGGGACAGAGCAGACCAGCCTGGCCTTGAGGAAGGTGCTCCATTTATTCACCAGCACTCGCTGGCCACCAGCATCATTCTGGGGGTTGGGAACCACAGTCAGTCTAGGGCCTCGGGAAATGGGCTGTACCTCCTGTTCCTCTACCCTTGCCCTTGGGGGAAAGGTCTGGATATTAGCTCTGCATTCTCACCTCAGTTTTCCTACTGCCAGGAGGAGGTCTAGGGAAAGGATAGAGTGAAACACCATCACCATCACAGCATTCTGTGTGCACGCATGCATGCGTGCATGGCCGGGGCGGGGGCAGGTCCTGAACTCAAGGTTCAGCGTGCTATCCCTTAGTTTTCTTTGTTCAAGGCTAGAACTCTACCACTTGAGCCACAGCTCTACTTCTGGGTTTTGGGTGATTCACTGAAGATAAGGGTTTCACAGACTTTCCTATTTGAGTTGGCTTCTAAGGGTGATCCTCAAATATCAGCCTCTTGGGTAGCTAGGATTACGAGTGTATGCTACCAGCACTCAGCCTCTTCATAGCTCTTACCACACAGACTCGGCCCACACGGCTGACAGTGACGTGCCCTGGAGCACCATCAGGCGATGGGACAGTCTCGGAGAAAAAGAAGTATACTTTGTCATCATCTTGGTCAGAGTTGTCAGAGATCCTTGCTGCCATCACAAATCGGGGGTCTGGGAGAGTGACAGAATGATGCTGGGGTTCACAGGGAAGCCTAGTAAACTGATTCTAAAGAGAAGGGAAAGATATGGGGGGCGGGGAGGTACTCCAGCTGGAGACTGGAGTCCTGGGGAGTACAGCAGCCTCTTCTCCTGCTTCAGCATACCCTCTCCTGCCAGGTCAATGGCAGGTCCCAGCCAGTCTTTCCCCCCAAACCTACCCTCCGCCACAAACCTCACCATGCAGGAGGCTCTGGTCAGAGTTAGAGCGCAGGGCTGGCCGGGGGCCCCCACTTCGGAAGATCATGGCCTCGCGCCCCAGGAAGTCAGCAGAAAGGCCTGTGTACAGTTCTCCTCCTGGAGGGTCATGGGATTGAGGGGCAGTCAGGGGAGAAGGACCAGGTTAAGCAGCCCAGTCCCTCCTTTCTCAGTGCTATAAGCCAACTCCTGCCCTCCCTGTCCCCATCCTGGCCTGAGATCACCCACCTACAAAGGTGCTGGCAAAGGAACGGCTGGGCTCGTGTGGGCACCTCCCACGACCACTTTCCACACTGCGGGGCTCCAGGTGGAGCACATGCTACAAAAGGACACAGGGTGAAGACATCACCTAGGAAAGAGGCACTACCCCCACCCTGCTGGGCAGCAGTCCTGCCCTTGCGTGTGACTAGACAGTTGGAGGGGGGGACAGAAGGCGCCCTCATTCAGAGCCTCCCTACTGGGGTCAGCACCCTGGCACAAAGGCGCCTTTCAAACCCCTGCCCCCAATCTCTACCCAGGCTCAAAGGAAATGTTCAGCCAGCAGGAGTGAGGAAATGTCACCGCCTGACAATCTGTCCAGGGGCTGGCCCAGGCTCACCTCCCCACGATGCCCGACTGTGATGAGGGCACAGATTGGATGGAAGGCACCAGTGCCACACACCAGCAGGTGAGTTCGGTTGTAGGGCTGCAGCACCCGCACGAAGTTGGCACACTCGGTCTAGTGGGGAGAGGGAAGAAAGCTGAGGAGTGAGGGGGAAGCTTGCCATCTCTTTGAACCCCGCCTTGTCTGTCTGGTCAGCTCTGGGGAAATGAATGGGGTGACATTCTTCCAAGGCCTCCAAAATCCCAGGCTCTCTTGCAAATGCCTCCCCCTCCCTGTGCAGAGGTATCTGGGAGCATAATTTCAGGTTATCCCTGGGGGACCAGGGTCTTCTGGGGTCACTGACTTGCAGGAACAGTTCTTTTTAACAGCACCCACCAATAGGTCTCGTCCCTTTCGAACACATTCTTCTCTTTGTCCTGGCAGTGGTGGCCACAGGACCTGAAACACAGCCTGGTGAGCTCTTTGCCTCACAACCTCAATTTCCCCATATGACTTCCCATCTGAAGGTGCTCAGATTTCCCCCACCCGTCAAGCTCACCTCTCGGGGGTCTGGCCATGCCTGGTCCAGCCTAAGAGAATAGAGGGCATCTCGACCCCCCAGAAAAAGGCGGTCCCGGTACTCATCCAGGTACATGGTTTGAAGGTCCAGGGATCCCCGTGGACCCAGGAAGATGGCAGAGCGGTTGGCAGACAAGAGGTCTAGGAGGGAACAGAGAGATGGGTTAGGATCTGCTGCTCAGCTTACTTCCCCAGCCAAGGAGTAGAGTTGGTGGGTCCTAGCTGTGTGTTTACCTCTCTCCCCCACCACAACCATCTGGAAACATTTGCATTTACAGGACTGCTGGAAGGGTTTGGGGACACAGCTCCTGGGGACAAGTGGACTTGGAGGCTTTGAGCATCTGCTTGGCCCAGCTTACACTGGAGTCTGCTTTCAGTGCCTTTCTTTTTCCTCTTTCTTTCTTTTTCTTTCTCTCTTTCTTCTTTCCTTCCTTTCTTTCTTCTTTCCTTCCTTCCTTCCTATCTTCCTTCTTTCCTTCCTTCCTTTCTTCTTTCTTTCCTTTTCTTTCTTTTTCTCTCTTTCTTCTTTCCTTTCTTCCTTCCTTCTTTCTCTTTCCTTTCTTCCTTCCTTCCTTTCTTTCTCTTTCTTTCTTTTTCCTTCCTTCCTTTCTTTCTTTTTTTCTTTCTCTCTCTCTTTCTTTCTTTCTTTCTCTCTCTCTTTCTTTTTTTCTGAGGAGCAGATGTGCTAGAGCTCCAACCCAGAGCCTCCTGCATGCTTGACAACCAGTCTACTGCTGAACCATGTCCCTAGTCCCAACTCCTCCGTTCTTTAGCCCCTTGCTCTTTCTGCTGACATTCTCCAACTACCACATCTATACCCTGCCTTATTCCCAGGGAAGATGGTCCCACCGGCAGAAATTAGAGCAGCAAGCCTGACAAAGTGCTTGGAGACCTGGGGGTGGGGGGAGTCTGAGTATTGGAGAGGTGGACAGGCGGGGAGAGGATCTTCAGTGGAGGCAACATCTGGCAAGGGCCCAGGCACAGGCCAGGTCTGGTGTGGCCATGGGGAGCTCCGGCTCCAGCTGAGATTTGTAGCCAAAGAGGATTTTCTTCCCTGTCGACATTTCCTACCCAGGCACCAGAGATGGGTAGAGGGGCTCTCATGAGTCCTTGGTGCTTAACTGGGGAGCTGGAGGTGATTAGGCCCGCAAGGGACTGGCAGGAGGGTTTGGTGAGAAGGAGTGTGCACCATCCTGAGGAAGGCCCAAAGTACCCTATGCCATTCCCTACAGGAGCACTGCAGTCCAGCCCCAACTCTTCCTCAACAATCCCATTAACAGCCTCTTCTTGGAAGTCCTCCAGAGAACTTTCCTATAGGGGATTTTCTGACCTCCCCTCAAAACCACAGATCCCAGAATCCCTTTCCCTTAGACTCTCCAAATGAAGCAATGTCCCCCCCTTCATATTCTCCACAGTGGATCTGTGTCTCAGAGATTCCTCCTTCTTTCCCAGGGACCACGGAGGAGGCAAACACAGCTGGGTTAGGACAGAGAAACCCCCCACTCCCTTCATCAGGATGGTAGAAAGGAAACTGAAACCTCCTGGGGCTCCAGAATGGATAGGGAATCATAAAGTCAACTTGGGAAATGGGCTACAAGAGGTGAGAGGTCTTTCCCTCCCTCAACCTCCCACCCAGAGGATCAGGCTGTTGCCCTCTCCCCCAGACTTCACCAATACCCAGACCAGTTCTTTCTGTTCTTTCCCCATCTATGTGCCCCGTGATTAAGGTCTCTGTCTCTTCCTTTTCAACGGCCCCACCTCCCCACCTCAGGCTCACCCTGTGCATCCATCTCCTGCCTCCACCCTGGGCATAGCTCCAAGGACCAATCTCCCTTCCCAGTCCTCAGCCATCCTCAGCACCCATCCTGGACCTGGCCAGGAAGCCTTTCCCGAGGGTAGTGCAGAATCTGGCTCCACCCCCTCCTGCTGGCTGGACAGACTGCTCAGGACTAGCTAAGAGATATCCTAGAGCTAGGGTTCCCACAGACATGCACTGGCCAGTACCTCGGTAGGAGAGCCTTAAGCGGGGCACGCCAGGGCTGGTACTCCCTACACACAGCAGGAGGCCCCCCAGGAGGCAGCAGATGGCCCAAGCCGGCAGGGCCATGCTGGGAATCGGAGCTGCCCTCCTTCCTCTGGTCTGGCTGCTTGCTGTAGTTTGCTCTGTTGCCACCAGGCCAGCCACTTATAAAGCAGCAGCTCCACCCAGTCCTGGGCGGGAAGGCCGGGAGGAGGAGAGGAGGAGTCTAGTTGCCCCCACCATCTACCTGCAGTTTCTCCCACCACCTCAGCTGCCCCATCTTGTGACAGGCTGGCCAGTTCCCTACTGGGAAGATCTGCCACTTGAGGTGTGGACAGTTTGCATAGAGAGATGTTCACAAATGCAGCTCTAGGCTTCTGACAAATTGACAAGGATCAGAAGTCAGAAGTTAAAGTAGGGTGCGGCAGCTCTATGCCTATAATCCTAACTATTCAAGGCCAGCTCAGACAGACAAATCTGAGAGACTCTTATCTCCAATTAACTATCAGAAAGTCACATGTGGAGCTGTGGCTCAAATGATAGAGCACACCTTGAGTTAAAGCCCCAGTACCAATACAAAGGGAGAAAGATGAATGGGGGGAGCGGGGATTAGGGAAAGAGAGAGAGAGAGACTCTTCTCTCCAATTAACCAGCAAAAAGCCAGCAGTGGAGGTATATGGATCTGGTGGTAAAGAGCTGTGACACACACACACACACACACACACACACACACACACACACACACACACCAGAGTTCAAGCTTCAGGCTGATAATACAATAAATAAATAAGCAAAAAGAGGTCCAAACATGGCTAGGCTGGATGTGTGTGTGTGTCTGTGTGTGTCTGTGTGTCTGTGTATATGTGTGTATGTATATGTGTATGGTAAGGGATGGCCCACTTAGACCCCCCTCAAACTAGCCTTGGACCCAAGCCCCCCGTAGTAGGGTGATCTAGCCCCTGGAACCTTGGCTGAGTTCCCTGACTTTCCTGACAGGGTTAGTCTTAAGGAGGGTCAATTTCCAGTCCAAGGAACCCCATGTCCTGGGCAGGAGCTTGAGATCTGGCCATACTTCACAGATCTGGGACTGACAAGAGATTAATAGACAGGGTCTCCTACCCATTCCTATCTCCTCTGTTGTCCAAGTCCCACAGCCTGTCCCCATATCTCCTGACCACATCTCAACTCACTTGGCCTTGCTTTGAGATAGGGGATACCTTGTACCCAGTGGAAGCCTCTATTGTTCCAGTTCCCTCAGGCCTCCAGTCCTTCAGAGGTAGAGGCCCAGAGCGCAACAGGTCAGCAGTGGGCTGTTCCCAGAGCCTATGAGCCCTCCAACCATGGTTCTGCCATACTTTACTCCCTCTGCCCTGCACTCTGCTGGGGAGCCGAGCAAGGAGCCATGGATGAGGGCCAGGTGGAAGACAGGACTGAGGGACAAATGAGAGGCAGAATGTCTGAGAGGAGCTCATGCCTCTGACCCCCAAATGGATCCCCTCACTCTACTCCAGACCTAGTTTTAGAATCTGAGACTCTGAGCACTAAGATTTCAACCCTGAATTAAAATTAGAGCTCCCAGGATTCTAGAAACTCCTGAGGTTTGGAGCCTTGAGGTGAGAGTCAGGAAACATGGGGGTGATAAAGAGAGAGGGAATGAGCAGGTCGAGGCTACATAGTTTGAGAACAGGTTCAGCTCTGCTCTTCTCCTTTCTGGAATCTTCTTTTACTTTGGGGGCTCATAGAGGTTAATGGATCCCATCTTTTCTCCTCACCTGATCCCTGAAAGAACAAATTGGCCCTTGAGTCAACCTGAGAAGAACCTAGGATCCCCAGCTCTGTCTCCCTGTCTTCTTTCTTGGGACTCATGCATATTCTTCACAGCAGTGTATGGGGAGAGAAGTGCTTATCTAGAAAGGACCCAGAAAGTACTCAGAGAGACCAGTGACTGGGCTTGCCCTATCCACCTCTGGCTCTGTTCGAGAACCTTAGCCAAGACTCTTTACTCTCTATGTCTGTGGTCAGTTCCTAGGGCTGGGGACCTTGGATGTAATGAATGGGCTTTATAAACTAGCAAGTGATACTAAGACAGAAGCAGCTATGGTGGTGATCATACACTGGGTGGGATGATTATATCCTTGGTAGTGTGGAACCCCTCTGCCTTCATTTCCCTGAGGAGATACTTTGGCACAGAGCCCAGGCTGGAGCTAATGTACAGCTAGAGATTGAGTCAAACAAATCTTCAGCCAGCATGAGGCCACCAACTGAGGCTGGAAGTACAAGCTCTCCTCAGCTTTCCAGGGGTCTCCAGTCAGCCGAGCCCCCAGCTAAGGCTGGAAGGAAGCCTGTGTCTACAATGGCAGGGTAGGTGGGGCAGCCCATACCACACGGTGGAAACAGTCTGACCCACTAGGAGCCCAGATTCTTAACTGGTATGGCCTCAGTCATGTCCTCTCCCTCTATGGACTGGTTTTCTGTTCTAAAGACTAGAGTAAGGACCATCCCCAAAGGCTTCTTACTGCTAGTGGAAGAGACCCAAGGTACCCTGAAGTCGCAATGGGCCCAGTCATGGGCGCTGTGTGACATCTAGTGGATAATGAAGGAATTGCAGGAGACCCCAAAGCTGGGGGGTGTTGGGTAGTGGGACATCAGGACCATCCACAAAAATTGCAGCCTGTTGAGGAGGGAGGTAGGAACCAGGCAACCACAAAATTCCAAGCAGGGGCAGTAGGAGATCCTCTAGTAATTGCTTTTGATGTGAGGAATCAAAGGAGGCTTCCTGGATGAAGCATATCTAGGCAAAGCATATGGATGGATGCACATAGGAGGCAACAAGCCGTGAGTTGGTGGAAGTTGTGAGCCACCAGCCTGCACGTGCTATGTGTGATGTGTATGTTCACATAGCAGGTGCTCTGATGTGGATACGTGGCAAGTCATAGTCAAGCCATTCCTGCGTGGAATCCTGGAGTGCACATGCCTGGAAAGAGTGGTTGCTCCTAGCAACATTCCTACTAACCTCAGTAGAACAGATCTTGTGAACATTCCATGGGGTCCCTTCCATACTAGAGAATGAAATGAGCCTTCCAGTCAGGCTCCCTGCACAACTCCTATCTCCGTCAGTATCCTTCACAGAATCCTTGAGAACTTGCACATGCAAACAAGGCCATCATCTCCTCTGCCTCTCATAGAACCTGCCCCACTTCCTGGCACTTGATGAAGGGAGAGCCAGAGCTCATCCCTCCGTTGCCCCTCCATGACAGTTCTCATTTCCCCTAACACTAGCACACATGGCCTTGAGAGGCAGAACTGGAAAGAAATCAAAACAAGGGAAGGCATTACCTTGTCCAAAAAGAAATGTGCTCATAGCCAGGTGCCAGTGGCTCATGCATGTAATCCTCGCTAACCCAGGAGGTTGATATCTAAGGATAGCGGTTCAAAGCCAGCCTGGGCAGGGAAGTCCATGAAACTCTTACATCCAACTAACTACCAGAAAACCAGAATGGCATTGTGGCTCAAAGTGGTAGAGCACTAGCCTTGAGTGAAAAAGCTCAGGGACACCACCCAAGCCCTGAATTCAAGCCCCACAAGTGACAAAGAAAAGAAAAAAGAAATGTAGTCATGTACTCATTATCTGACTTATGTAACTGTAACCCCTCTGTATATCACCTTTATAATAAGAATATAAAGAGCAACTCTGTAAGCTGGTCTGATCCCCCTCCTCTTTTAATCACAGTGGACTTCTTTCCCCCTCCCCAATCTCATCAGCTTACCTTTTGCACTACCAATCACCTGCTCTCCTCATCTCAGCCCTTCATCCTCAAGGACATGGCCTTTTTATGTCTCTTTGGAATATACTTTCTTCTGGATATCACTAACTCCACTCAAAACTCCCAGTGCTGAAACTTGCTGAGACATTTGTCTGCCCCTCATTGCTTCAGACGCCCCCCCCATACTTTTCAGCTTACCCTTTCTTCCCACCCCTCTTGGATCCATAGCTAACACTACAACCAAGCCCTGACATACACTGCCCATGCAGAGGAAGACCCTACAGCTTCTGGCTCTGATCTATGTTGCCTCTGCACCACCCATGCTGTGCTGAGGTGTTGCCATACAAGCTTGTCTTCGGCATACAAATCATTCCTGCCCCCTCTTCCAACATACTTCCCTAGACCCCATGCCTTCTTTCAGTCCCCTGGACCCCAGGCTCTGCTCCCTAAAGGCTCTCAACCTGGACTATCTTCCCTTAGGCCCTTTCCAATTGGGTTCACACTTGACTGCTCCACTGAAATTCTCCTTTCCACAAGAACAAGGCCTGGATTCTTCTGAATCTTGGGGCCATTCACTGTCATCCATACACTATCCCTGGCTCTTTTGTTCAAAGCTAGCTCTCTACCACTTTGAGCCACAGCTCCACTTCCAGTTTTCTGGTAGTTACCTGGAGATAAGAGTCTCGTGGACTTTCCTGCCTGGGCTGGCTTTGAACCTCAATCCTCAGATTCAGACTCCTGAGTAGCTAGGATTACAGGCATGAGCCACCAGCACCTGGATCCATACCTACTTCTTTCCCTTCTGGTTCACCTAGGGTCTCTCTTACCCACTGGCTACATGTAATCCTCTACCTCCTCTCTATGGACTTTCCCTCGGAATCTCACTTGTGACCAAAGTTGGGAAAGCGTTCCTAACTCTGATGATGACAACCTTCACACCTCTCACTTTGCCCTGTCCTGTGCTTCTGGTGGGCTCCCACCTTTCCACCAGCCGTCCCAGAGACATCTCAATTTTAATGCAGGCAAAACCTCTCCATCGCTCCGACGGTCAGCCCATTAAAAATGCCTCACCTGATTGTAATTCTAAGAAAAGACAAGACAAACCCAGACTAAGTAACTGGTCTCTATCCTTCCAAAGTGCCAATACTGGCCTAGGGATGTGGCTCAAGTGATAGTGTGCTTGGTGAGCAGTCATGGCCCTGAATTCAACCCCTAGTGCCTCCAAAATACTAAGATCTTGAAGGATGAGGAAAGACTGAGTCAGAATGGGAAGGAACCAGGAGCCAGAGAGCTGGCTTGTGCCAGTGTCATCTTTGGGATCTCCATTAGCTGGACCAGGAAAAGAACTCTATGAAGGCAATTAAAATTTCAGTAATGTCTGAAGGTGAGTTAGTAGTGTTGTACACATGCTAAGCTACCAGATTTGATCCCTGTCCTATGACCTGGTTATCTGATGAAAAGTTTGGGGAAGTTGGCTGAAGTGTAAATCAAGAGTTTTTAATACCATTTTTGCAACATTTCTGCAATTCTGAAATTTCAAGATGGGAAAAAAATCCTTAATAAGTCGTCTATTGTAATGCTTCTTCTCATAATGCCCTAGGTTCCTGCTCAACCAATGAACAGATCCGGGTGGCATCAATCAGTGCACAGCCCAGCAGAGGAGGTATGGAAAGAACCTTGTACTATAAGAACTGCCCTCTGATCCCAACCCATTTCCTGCTTAGGGACCCCTCCTCCTTCTTGGAGTCTGTACTCTACTTCCAATTTCAAGAAACTTGCTACCTCATTATTTAAAGGGGAAAACAAAACTAATGCAAAGGGGCTGGGAAGGTGGCTCAGTGGTAGAGCGCTTGCCTTGCATGCATGAGGCCCTGGGTTCGATTCCTCAGCACCATATAAGCAGAAAAAAAAGCCAGAAATGGTGCTGTGGCTCAAGTGGTGGAGTGCTAGCGTTGAGCTGAAGAGCTGAAGGACAGCGCCCAGGCCCAGAGTTCAGGCAGCATGACCCACGAAAACAACAACAACAACAACTAATGCAAAGTAACCTGCACTTCCTAAAAACCCTATGCTGAACCTGTGCCCACTTAGGCTTTCACATCTCAGGAATTAGTAGTTTGTCCATAGTTCCTTACCTTGCATAGTCAATCCTGTGAGTTCTAGTTCTGGTTGCAAATAATGCCCCGGGTCCGTGTACCCCCTCTACCCTTCTTCCCCAGCATCTACTGTGCTGAGAACCACTGCCCCAGCCTCCAGCCAACCTCCTGTCTCCTCCACAGCCTTTTCTCCTCTGTAATCTAAAAGCCCTTCATCCCCTCACATGAGCCGGGCTTCTCACAGGTTCTGGTTTTGCTCCCCTCTCTCTAAGGCTGCTGGAGCTTCCAACCCAACCCTGCCTTTTTGCTCTAGAGACTGAGTCTTTTCCCCTGTTGCTCCTATGGCTGATTCCCTGACATTTTTCAAGTCTTGCTCAGTGAGTGTCACCTCCTCTTAGAAGCCTTTCAGGATAACTCTATTTTGCCACACTAGTTTCCTCCCTGCAATCATAACCCTCTTCATCCCCCTGAGTCAACTAGAAATTCCACAGGTTGGAGACCAGACTCACTCTGACATGTTCCAGCATCCAGCCCCATGCTAGGCACATGACATGTGAGTAATCAAACCACTGGATGATGCAGTGGCAGGCCAGGTCCTCCACTGAGGTCCCTCTTTTTCTCCAGTGTCACTCTAGGTGTCAATATAGGCTAAGAGATCCCCAGGCTTCTTGAGGACAAGCCTGTGAAGTCCCCTCTCCACTCCTCCCAGATCTTTCCAGGGACCAGACAGCTTCTTCCAGCTCTGGTTTCCAACAGAGGAATCTCTAGAATTCCAAGATTGTCTCTGGAATGCCCAGCCTGTCTGGAAAATGCCCGGGCTTGGGCACAGGTGCAGAAGCAGTGGGGTAGCTGGGTGGAGAAAAGACAGCTGTTGACATTCTGGCTAGAGCCTGGGTCACCGTGGCAGTTGTCTCTCTTGCAAGCATCATTACCAACACCTCCACTTCCTTGAAACATGGAACCCACCCTCAAGGCCAACAGCACTGTTCTCAGGGCCACTCTAGCCTGGGTACTCCAGGCTCACCATCCTCGTCCACTTCATCAGGCCTTTGTTTCCTTGTCAGGGATGGAGGCCTGGTGGCTGTAGGCCAGTCTCTGAAGGTCACAAGAACTGGAAATTAATTCCAGTTTTGGATCTGATCCATGATGCAAGAGCCTTTGCCTAGAGGTTGGATGTTGGATTTTCCCAAAAACTCACCAGATGACCACATCTGTGAAATGGGTGATGCAGTGCAGAGAAGATTATATGCTCTTCCTCCCCTCCCCCCAGCCTAGGAATCAAGGCTGCTCATGGGAAATATGAGCAAGAAATGGATTAGAGCTATGGATATGCTGCGCTCCAAAGGATCTAACATCAGGGCTGAAAAGTTGCTAGGATTGCAGGGCTAGGAGGCATTCAGGGCCTACTGCAGCTAACTGTGCTCCCCAAGTAGGGGCCCTCTAGATTGCCATACTGGCTGATTAAAGTAATGCCTTAGGATATTGCTAAAATGTGGGCTCCAGGGCTACCATAGTCTCCAGAGGCTCGATTGCTGCAGATAAGGCACAAAGGAGGGCATCTCTGCAGCCAGCTTGCCTAGGATAGGGTCAACAGGAAAAGTCCTTGGCCCTGGGACTTGGATCAGAGCCAGACACTAAACCTCCAAGGGACAAGGCTTTATTTGCACTCTACAGGACAGGGGTAAAGAGGGGGTGAGGAGGGCCAGGGGTCAAGGACACAGCCAGGCTCAGGGCCTAGAGAGTCTGGCCCTCCTGCCCCAACCCAGAGTCTGTCTGGAGCGGGAAGGTGGGCATTGGCAGCTTTGGGCAAAGGTCAGCAGCTTACTCCACACCCTTCATGAACTCCAGGAACTCTGTGGAGAGAGAGGCAGGCATGGATCAGAGGTGTAGGCCAGGCTGAATGTTGACCACAGGGAAGTGGGGAGGTCTTCCCTCCACCCACTCACCGTCATAGTCAATGCGGCCATCATTGTTCTTGTCGCCATCCTTCATGAGCTCCTCAATGTCATCTTCTGTGATGGTCTCACCTGTAGCCTGCAACATCATCTTCAGCTCCTCCAGGTCAATGTAGCCATCAGCATTCCTGCAAGGAAGGCAAGAAGGACCTCAGAAACTAGGGCAGGTCAGTGTGAGGGGAAAAGGTAAGATGGGGGCATTGGGAGAGGGGTCAGGGGCAAGAAGTCAAGTATCTGTGCTCACTTGTCAAACATGCGGAAGAGGTCCGACAGCTCCTCCTCAGATTTCCCTTTGCTGTCATCCTTCATGCACCGTACCATCATGACCAGAAACTCATCAAAGTCCACTGTGCCACTGCCTGGGTGGGCAGTGCAGCTGTTAGACCTCAGTTAATACTGTAAGCAACACCCTTCACACACACCAACTCCATGAGGCTCATTAGGCCATTGTGCCCACTTTGTAGATAAGATGACTGAGGCATTGGGACAAAAAAAGTCTCCTGATTAAACAGAAACAGGATGTAAAGACATGGAGGGGCTCACCATCCTCATCCACTTCATCGATCATCTCCTGCAGCTCCTCTGGCGTGGGGTTCTGGCCCAGCATCCTCATCACCTTGCCCAGCTCTTTGGTGCTGATACAGCCATCCTCAGCACCCAGCACAAAGATGTCAAAGGCAGCCTTAAACTCTGCGTCCAATGACCATGTGAGGAGACAGAGCAGCCAGGGCTCACCAGACAGGAACTCAGAAGGTCAGACCCCTGAGGTCACCTGTCAGTCTGCCCACCACCTTCTAAAAGGTCTCTGAGGTCACAGCAAGGGGAATCACAGCTTTGGACTTTCAGCCTGGAGTTTTCTTCAATCCCCTACCATGCTCTTCCAGCCTGTTCCCCAGCGGTGCCCCTCTCCCCCCTCCCTCCTCCACCCCATTCCTCAGTTGACAAGAACACTTACCATTTTTCTGCTCTTCTGTCAACTGCTCTACCTGGAGAAGGAAAGGGGTCCTGAGACTCAGACTCAGAACTTAACTGCTGTGGAAGAAACTAACCCATTCCAGGAAGACTGAAGCCAGAAAGAGGTGGTCATTTCCACGTCATGGAATAGGGGCCTCAGACCTCCTTTCTTGCCTCCAAAGCCATAAAGTTACCCAGCTAGCCTCACAGAGGCTGGGCTTGGGGTCAGTCTGACAGGTGGGTACTAGACCATGTCCAAGGTGACCCCACATAACACTCTATGCCCTTTGGGCCACCCTAATGAAACCCAAGCTGCATGGCCTGAGAGACAGCTGTCCTTCAAGTTGGGACAATAAAACCAATGTTAGGGATGAGCAAAGCCACCCACTGTAACCTGACCAGGATGACCACTGGACTATTTTTAACAGGGAGACAAAGTTAAACCTGGTGATTGTTCTGGGGACTTTGGTATGCAGGGGGTGGGGCAGCATTATCAGGCTCTCTGGCTGCTTGTACTGCCTCAGGAGCCAAAATTAGTCCCCAGCCCTCCAAGCCTTCTATGGGCACTGGGTGGAGGGCTGCCTCCCTCCTCCCCAGCTCCATGGGCTCCTGCAGGATAGGCAGGGTTGCCTCTGGAGTCAGCTGTAGCCCTTCCCAGCCTCCTGAGTGGGGCCACATTCTAGGGGCTAAAGGGAGGGGTGTTTCCCCTGGGACAGCTGTCTGTGCCTTTTCTCTGGAGTGGGAGGAGGGACCCCTCCCCCCAGTCTGGAATAGCATCTGAAGCCCCCCCCCAGTGATCTCAAGAGGCTATAAAGACTTGGGGTGACTGCTCTCCAATCCTTATCTTCATTCCCAAAGCCCTGAACCCCAAGTCTTCCAGACCATGTAAGAGCTGGGCCCTTAGTTCTCTCCAAGTCTAATCTTTCTCCGTGTTAGTCATCAAAAGCCCCTTCCCGAGCCCAAGATTCAGGCTTGGCAGCCTCTCTTTACAATGCCCTCTTCACAATCTCCTCTAAAGTATTTCAGCCAGCTGAGAGGCTGGAGCAGGACAGCAGATCAAGCAAGAGAAGCAGAATGTAAGAAGCAGAAACGGGGGGTGACACGAGGGGAGAAGCAATAGACACAGACAGACAGTTCCGGAGAATGTTTTCTTTAAATAGGAGACTGGGAAAGAGCCACACAACAACTACAAATACAGAGATTTGCTCAAAGGACAGTGACATAAACTGCAGACACTTAGAAGGGGACACAGGATATAAAAGCTGGAAGTTCCCCCTGTACCATTCCAATAGCCTCTCTTCAGACTCTGAGCCCCTCATCTTCTCTGCACCCCTGAATACCAGCTCCACTCTCCCAAAGGTATGTGCTAAATATCTAACGGTCTCTCTTAGATCCCCATCACTTTCCTAGGTGACCTTGTTCCCCATTCTAAGCTAAGCAGGTCTCCAGTGGGTCCACCCTCCCCTGCCCTGCCCAGGCCAGTCCCTCACCGCAGCCTTGTAAATGTCATCCATGCTGGAGCTCACAGGACAGATTGCTGAAGTTGCCAGCCAGCACTTAGCCTCAGCTTAAATAGCCCTGCCCCACATTCCCAGCCCAGCCCACCATTGCATGTGGTATCCTCCACCCCCTCCCCTGGCCTGGGTGATCTAAGCCTGGCCTGAGTTCCTGTATCCTCTGCCCAGGACAGGGAACAATAAAGGGCTTCAAGGACCAAGTTTCTTGCTCTCTGTTCCCCATACCTCACAGGGAAATCTCAGGAAAGGTTTCTTGAATGAATGAAAACATAAATCCAGGGTCAGAGCTGGAAAGTAGTAAGCCTCAGGCCAGGCCTATACACAGCAGCAGCTCCACCTTCCATCCAACCTGGGAAGTAGGTGCTATCACCCCTACTTTCCAGATAAGATAAAGGAGGATTCCTGAGGGCGTGATTTGCCCCCAAGACGTGGCTTATTGGATAGTACATGAAGAGGCTAGGACTCTTGGGCCCTGCCATAAGCAGCCTCAAAAACCAGGATCCGAGTATAGTCATATGGCACTTGTAAGGAAGTCACTGACACACCAAAACAGAGAAGTCTAGAGCCCTTCAGCCAGAGATACCAAAGGAGCCGTGCACAGACCTCCCATCACCCCAGAGGGAGCCTTGCTCACTTTGGGCTTGAGTCAGCTGTCCTCAATCATTCAACAAACACTCGCCCAGAGCCTCATCTGTGCCAGGCTCTCTTTCCTTACCCTCCATTTGAAATGCCACCTCCCTCTTCTAGGTCGGTTTTTCTAAGGGTTAGCACTGTAGTTCTTGGATACAGTTCTTGGTTTGCGCTTTGGCAGGATATCATTGGAAAGCACATTCCCCTTCTCTCAGCCTGCAACCCTACTCAATACAGATCCCATTCCTCCACGAACACACCAGTTCTCCTGTCTTGTCCTTGACATGAATCAACTCTCTCAGTTCTCCAGGAGTGAATATGACAGAGATCTCAGAGTGTCAGAGAGACTAAGAAAAGTCTCAGCATGCTGGGCACTGGTGGTTCACACCTGTAATCCTAGCTACTCAGGAGGCTGAGTAGGAAACCAATCTGGGGCAGGAAAGTCCATGAGACTCTCATCTCCAGTTAACCACCAGAAAACTGGAAGTGGTGCTATGACTCAAAGTGGACGCTCATTAGTCTTTGTTTTTGGGGGGGGGGGGGGGGGTCCGGACGTGGGGCCTGAATTCTGGGCCTGGGTGCTGTCCCTCAGCTCTTCAGCTCAAAGCTAGCGCTCTACCACTTGAGCCACAGTGTCACTTCCAGCTTTTTTCTTTTTGCTTATGTGGTGCGGAGGAATCGAACCCAGGGCCTCAGGCATGCAAGGCAAGTGCTCTACCACTGAGCCACCTTCCCAGCCCAGCTCATTAGTCTTGCATGCAAAAGCTCATGACCGATATTAGCGAAATGAGTTCCCTTTCCATAGCTTACTACACTCTTCCCCTCTCCACAGGTAGCATGCCCCCTTCCTAGGCAACACTAGGCCCATTTAGTAAAGGCAGAAAATAATCAGGCTCCAACCCCCTTTCCCTTGGGATGGCACTCCTCTGGGGCAGCTACCACCATATAAGTCAACAAGAGACCCTTAGAGTGACCTTCAGGTCTAGGCAGTTGCAGGTCTTGTTATCTACTATTTACTTGGGCAGCAGCCATAAATCCTAGTCCACCATGATTGAGCCCCTGGCCCTCATGTACACACCTGGGTCTCTACCCCCTTCTAGCCTCTCCTAAACTCTTAGGTTATGTAGGTCACCTCAGACAATAGCCAGCACTTCTTTTCACTTCTCCTTTATGTTAAGGGGTCTTGCCTGCCCCTTTCCCTGCAACAAACCTCTCTTTTTTTCTCTGTACCTGGATGTCTGCATGTTTTTTTGGCAAAGTCTAATTTTACTCTATCAACCACCACCACCACCACCAACAACAACAACAAAAGAAAGAAAGAAAGAAAGAAAGAAAGAAAGAAAGAAAGAAAGAAAGAAAGGAGAAAGAAAGAGGGGGAAGGAGGGAGGGAAAGTGGGAGGGAGAGAGAAAGAAAGAGACAGAAAAGAAAGAAAAAAGAAAAGTCTCAGTGTCAGCCAGCCGTTGTTGGTCAAAGTGTAAATAATAGGCTGGGGTTCCAACTGTGGAGAAATGGGGGTGGAAAGCTGGATCCTATCTCAAAAATAACCAGATCTAAAGGGCGTGGAGGCATAGCTAGCTCATGCTGTAGAACATCTGCCGGCAAACAGGAAGCCCTGAGTTCAAATCTCAGTACTGTCACAAAAGAAAGAAAGAAAGAGAGAGAGAGAGAGGAGAAAGGAAGGAAGGAAGGAAGGAAGGAAGGAAGGAAGGAAGGAAGGAAGGAAGGAAGGAAGGAAAAGCAAAGCAAAGCCGTTATTCCAGCCCTGTTGGGCTCTGGTCTAGCTCATTCCTTGGAGAAGGAACAGCCAGGTGAAGGGTTGTTAATTGCCCTTTTTCCACAGGGGGAAAGTAAGGCTAAGGCGGGAGCAGGGACTTGCTTCGGTTATCTTGCCTGAAGAGCAAGAGGCCCATGGCCTCTGCCATCCCTTCTTAAGGACCAAGGAGCGAGCGAGGACCGACCCCAGTGGTCTTTGCCTAGGTTAGCCAGACCAAACAACCCGGCAATTACGCAAGAGAGCCCTCAGGCCCGCACGGGCTGCGCATGCGCGCCGGGGGCGGGCCTGTCAAGCGCCGGGAGGGGGCGGGAAGGGTCCGGCGAGGGGGCGGGGCGAGGGAAAAGACAGCAGGGCCAAGATGGCGGCGCGGGCGGGGGGCGGCGGGGGCAGGGGGCTGGGGGGACGCTAGCCCCGCCCCCTGCTGCTGCCAGTCCTGCGCCGGGCGGCGGCAGCGACGGAGCCGGGAACATGGCGGCCGCGGCACGCAGCTTCGGGCCCGAGCGGGAGGCCGAGCCGGCTAAAGAGGCTCGCGTAGTGGGCTCCGAGCTCGTGGACACGTACACGGTGTGCAGGGGGCGCAGGCACCCGAGGTGGGGGGGGGCTGGAAGCCGCAGTCCGGGTCAGGGGGCTTGAGGAGGGGTCTGTCTGGCCCCGCAGCCGGGAGGACCTTCTCTGCTGTGGCGTGAATGGGGGCCTCAGGTGGGCGAGAGTGAGGACGGGTCTTGGTCCCGTAGGTCCCGGGAGGGGTGGCCCGCCCGGGGCGGGGATTCGGCAAGGGGCTAGCTCTCTGGAAGGCAGCATCCACTCGCTGGGGTCTGGGGAATAATGGGTACCTGGGCGGGGATCCTCCAGGCCTGGTGGGATGCAGCCTGCCAGGCTTTGATCGCGGGTTCTGGCCGCGGGGAATTGGGAAAGGGGACTCAGGTTTTAGGTCTGGAAGCGAAGATGGAAGTCCCATCGGGCCTAAGGCCCTTGAGGGGTCGGGTGGAGACCAGAACTTAGCCTGGAGTGGAGCTCCGCGGTGGGTTAAAGGGCGAGGCTGGGGGGGGGGGGGGAATGTTGTAGCTCAGGCCTGAAGTCGAGATTTTACAAACCTTCGTGGGTTTGGGTTGTGGGGGCGAGATTGGCAGTAACAGCCAACACACATTTCTAGACAGTGAGGGAGAATGAGGATAATAAAGGGAGATAGTTCCCCAAGGCAGTAAGATAGGATGTCCCCCAACCCCCAAGTCTACTGGGGATTGGATGCCAGGCCTAGGACTCTAGTAGGCTGCTCAAGAAAAAAAAAAAAAAACTTACCCTGGGGTAGGGGCTCAGTGAACCCCCTCCCAGCCTCCTTTTCTTTGTTCTAGGAGAGTGGGGAGTGGGTGGGGGGCCTTAGTCCAGCCTGTGCCACACCTCCTTGGCCCCTATCCTGACCTTTCCCTGTCTCCTGTCTTCCTCTGGCTCTTTTTCTTTTCCTGGATAGAAAAGAGAGGAGGGCTGGGAAGGTGGCTCAGTGGTAGAGCGCTTGCCTTGCATGCTCAAGGCTCTGGGTTCGATTCCTCAGCACCACATAAGCAAAATGAAAAAAGCCGGAAGTGGCGCTGTGGCTCAAGTGGTAGAGCGCTAGCCTTGAAATGAAGAGCTGAGGGACAGCGCCCAGGCCCAGAGTTCAGGCCCACGACCGGACCCAAAAAAAAAAAAAAAGAGAGGAATCCTTCAGGATGGAAGACAGGCTGGGGTTGATATTTAAGCAACAGGCCAACCCTGGAAAAATAGCTGTTTTTCAGGGTTAGAGGATTAAGTTGAGTATTTCCTCTTCCCCTTTCCCTATTGAAGAGAGGTGGGTAAACTAAGACCAGGGACTGGTCTAGAGCTAAGGATGAAGGACCTGAACTGATGGCGGACAGACCATCATTCATCGGCTATACTCAGCTGGAGAGTCATTCTCTTAAAAGCTCTCTTTATTGTTGGTTTTGCTCCCATACTGGAGGCAAGAAGGTGACTTGCAGGCTGTCTCTGTTCTGTTCCTGAGTGTGTAAACCGGATGTTTATTAGCACATCTATCTTTTGTTAGGTGTCATGAAGCATTTTATATCTATTTCCTTATTTGCTCCTTAAGCCTACCAGGTTTTAAGATGGAGGAACTGACGCCTGAAAGAGCTCCTAGTCATTCACATAAGCCACAGCCAGGAAGTAGCAGAAACAAGTTTTGGACTCAATTATTTCTTAACCATTAAACCATATTGCCTTATGGTAGGGCTAATTACCTATCACTGCCTCCCCCAGCAGTTTCTTAGTGCCTTAACCTCTGTTCCGCAGAAGTCCTAGCTACAAGCCAGTTGAAAAGGTTGACAAAGATTTGCTTCTAGGATGGAGTCAACACATGGAAACTGGTACAGCAGAAAAGCTGGTCCTTCCAGACCTGACCTGCTCTGCCTCCTTTGGAGGCCTTGCTCACTGCTCAAGTAGGGTTTTGAGTTACCTAGAGGCAGGAGGCAAAAGCAAGGAGACGCCTTATTGTCGTACAGTCACCTTTTCCATTCCTTAACAAAAGAAGCCACAGCCTTGCCTCATGTGTGCCTCATTGTCCTAAAGCTAGGGCTGTGGAAGAGGCTGGCCAGCAAGGGTCAAGTGCACTGT